CATAAGTTTATTTTTTTTTATGAAAAATCATTTTTAATTTCAAAGAGAAATAATTTTAATATTTCTAACTTTTGGATGACGTATGAAAAGGTTGAATATATGAAGAGTGATGGTCTATATATGAATGGATGACGTATGGAGGGTGAAAATATGAAGAGTAATGGCGAACGGAAAAATAAAAGTGTCCAGGAGCGGGAATCGAACCCACAACCTTCCCGCTCCTGGACACTTTTATTTTTCCGTTCGCCATTACTCTTCATATTTTTCACCCTCCATACGTCATCCATTCATATATAGACCATCACTCTTCATATATTCAACCTTTTCATACGTCATCCAAAAGTTAGAAATATTAAATTATTTCTCTTTGAAATTAAAAATGATTTTTCATAAATAAAAAGAAACTTATGCGGTTAAACTGGTTGTATAGCTTTATAAACAGTTATACATATAATATACTTTTTTGACACGTATATGGTTCTTTTTAAAATAAATCAATTTAATACTGCCCTTAATGCAATGATAAAATAATGAGAAGGCCTGGCTCATCAGTGGTGAACCCTCCCAGTGGTTTCGCCAGTTTAATCTACCAAACCGCTGTTATATTATATTTTTCGGTTTTCCTTTTATACTGATACTGAAGTTGACCTCTTGGAAAAGGTATTTTGGATAAACTATGGACACACACATATAAACTTTGATATGACAGTAGAAATATATATTTTGAGCATTGCTCTTCCGAAAATTGGAATTAATATATTAATATGATGTATTAGGGCGCCATCTGTTATAAAATTTTTAAACTATTTTTGACGTGTAGTATGATTCTTTTAAAAATAAAACTAATTTCTACTTTCCTTACTGTAGTGATGGAATCTACTCTTTCCTCTATGTTAGCTTCATGTGATTTGTTCCACAATGCGTGACGTCTAAATGAAGATGATCTTCCATGAATGCTTACAAAGTGATCGTTGTAACAGGCTGTTATCGGTGGACCCCACCTCAGGATATCTCACCACAGCCAGCGTCCTGGACTACGAAAAGGCGGAGTCCCACGTTGTCATGGTTATGGCGACGGACCTAGGACCGGAGAGACGTCAGGGATCGGCCACTGTGACACTGACTGTGACCGACGTGGAGGACGAACGCCCGAGATTCCAAGCCTCGGATTGTGGGCGGACTGTGGGCGTGGCGGAGAATGACACACCGAGGGACCTCCTCTCTGTCAGGGTAAGCCCCTCCCACTTTACCTATTTTACATATTTCCCTAGGGAAGAACAAACGGCGATTTCAAGATTACAAATAGGACATCTTAGAATTTATAATACAATATAATGCGGCTTATGATTGTAAAACGACATTTGAAAACAAATTTAGATTTTTTTTCGTTTAAAAGAAACACATGTGGGATAATTTTCAAATGTCGTTTTACATCTTAGAATGCTTAAATATAATTGAAAAATCAAAACATTCTTAAAATACCCCAAATATGATTCCCAACCTGCCAGTCCATCTATTGAATTGTATCAAATCCTCCATAAAAGACCTCTGGGAAAACCCCAGGACTATAATATATTAAAAATAATAAAGACATATCCTGACCAGGAGCAACATATGCTTTACAGAAAGCAGAGCGCCATCTGGTGGAACAGAAATCAACTATTCATTGATTTAACCTGTTCCCTGATATTTGGCCAACCCAATTTCTTGATAAATCAAGAAAAGCCATCCACGAACGCGTTTCACGCTGTTGGCGCTCGTCAGCGTGGAGTAGTCTGTACCAACCAGGACTATAATAGAAAAGCTGAGACAATGGAACCTAATGGAGATCGTTTAAACAACTTGAGGAATAAGCGACAACACATATTTCCCTTCAATGAGATAAATGACATTTCTCTGGTCGCAGGCTGTGGACCCCGATAGCCGTCCAAGGATTACCTACCGTCTAGCACGAGGAAACGCCACGCTGTTCGCCGTGGACCCTGTCTCTGGGACTGTACGGACTCGCAGACCGTTGGACTTTGAATCCACGCCGGGGGGAGTCCTCGAGTTGGCGGTGGGGACAGTGGAAGACCCGGATGGGGACACGTGCGTCGTGAGGGTGACAGTCGCGGTAGGTGACAACTTGACACCGTTGTGACAGTTTCAGCCCAGTTGGTTGAGTTACAACACAGCCGCCGTGTGTACACATGTTGACTATATCTCTCTCTCTTTATGTAAAGTTGTTTCCCTCTCTCCGATTATCACAGTCCATATTTTAAGAAGAATCTTTACCTTTTCTGGATGAATAATGGTAATTTTATTTGAAAGGGATTCAAAAACTTTCCTTTTCAACTTGTACTTTTCTGGGATATTTTACCTTGCCCATTGCTTAATGATTGCTTGTTCTGTGTTTATTCACTAATTCAAATAGTTGAGAACCAAGTAGTGGCCAAGGCATTAACCATGTCCCACTAACCAGAGAGATGTGAACAGAGCATTAGTATCAACGCCCCCATTGACCAAATAGGCGTGTCCAGAGCATTAACCACACCTCCATTGACCAAATAGGCGTGTCCAGAGCATTAACCACACCTCGATTAACCAAAGGGGCGTGTCCAGAGCATTAACCACACCTCCATTAACCAAAGAGGCGTGTCCAGGACGTCAACGACCACGCCCCCCAGTTCATGACCTATCCCCTGGTCTTGAGGTTCCGCCTGCGAGACGACAGTCCGCCGGGGACGTCCATTGTGGTGGCCAGGGCCGTGGACAATGACGGCACGGTAAGTCTGGGCAGGAATTGTCTCCAGCGTTCTGTTGAAGGGAGCTTAAAATTGTATTCAATAAAATAAAAATATTTGAATATTACTTACTGTGAAAAAACTTTCAGTTGCACGATAAGTAGATGCCTTTTTCTTAATTACTTACTGTGTTTCTAAAAGCTTTCTTCTCTCTGGAAGACGCCATATTACAATTGTAATCAACCAAAATATAAAAACAGAAGCATTGAGAATAATTATAAATTCCTGATTCAATTTAAGATTTCTTTGATTTCTGTAAGGGCGTACCCCTTCCCTCCCATGCCCCGCCCCTAGCACCACCTCTCAATACCATGCCCCACCCCCGCGTGCTGTGTCCAGCCTCCAAACAACGCTGTATCCTACTTCCTGGAGGAGGACTCCGGACTGTTCCGTGTCAACCAGTCCTCGGGGGAGGTGACTCTGGCCGGGGACCTCCGCTCGGACCCCGCACGGGAGCATCAGGTAGTCTGACTGTCCTCTCTCTTGTCAACTGTCCTTCTCTGCTGGCTGATTGTCACCTTCCTTTGTTCTCTTCGCTAGTCTCATCCTGCGCTGTTTCTTTTCTCATTGGCTCTCCCACCTTCACTCATGGACTTAAGGAAGTTGTACCTTTCAGCATGTATATCGGGATTGATACAATAACTCTGAAAGATATTACAGTGACCTTTATTGAAGACACACGAGATAACTAATATACACTCATGGACAACACTTAAGGAAGTTGTACCTTTTACCATGTATATCTGGATTGAGACAATAACTCTGAAAGATATTACAGTGACCTTTATTGAAGACACACGAGATAACAAAGTGTGAACAGCCTCTGCCTACTTTGAAAAATAGTGGACTGGCGACATCAAAAACTTTCCATGTTCTTAAGTTCTGTTCATGAGTGTAGATCTCCATCAAACACTCATGGACAGAACTTAAGAACATGGAAAGTCTTTGATGTAGCCGGTCATCTATTTTTTTTAAGGAGACAGAGGCTGTTCACACTTGGTTATCTCCTGTGTCTTCAATAAAGGTCACTGTAATATCTTTCAGAGTTATTGTCTCAATCCCGATATACATGCTGAAAGGTACAACTTCCTTAAGTCCATGAGTGTATATAAAAAGGTTTTTATATCTCCAATTAAGTTTCCAACACTACCGAAACGCAGGTCACACTGCTGGCCCGGGACGGAGGCTCCCCACCCCTCCTCTCTGCACCTATGCAAATCTCAATCTCCGTGGAACACGTGGTGACACTGGGAGGTCCACCGCCGGCACTGCTGGGGTTCCTGCTGCCGCGGTACAAGTAAGTGGACTCCATATTTACATCCTGGCTGTGTTTACTTTTGGTTTAACCTATGTGAGCTTTCGGATAATAACCTTCTTCAACAGGACTGTATAAATACAATAGAGAAGAAAGAATTTTGATTCCTTTTAGCATTGGTATCTGGCGGTTCTACCTATTGTAATTGTGATATATCCATGGCTTGTCTACCGCCGTTAGGTACTGGTCTAAGATCACAGGGAGAGAGAAGAATGGATGGGTGAGGTAAGAGCTGACAGGTACTGGGTGTGACAGCCTGGAAGTGGACGAGAACAGTCCAGCTAGGACACTGGTGGCTGCTCTGCCCGTGGCCAACGTCCCCGACTACCCTGTCACCTGCAGTATCGTCATGGGGAACGAGGAAGGTCGGTTGTCTGTCTTTCTGTGCGGTCGTTGTGTTGATATGGTGTGGTTGTGTGTGGTGTTGTAATATGGTGTGGTTCTGATGTACACTCATGGACTTAAGGAAGTTGTACCTTTCAGCATGTATATCGGGATTAAGACAATAACTCTGAAAGATATTATAATGACCTTTATTGAAGACACACGAGATAACCAAGTGTGAACAGCCTCTGTCTCCATAAATAAAAGCAGATGACCAGCGACATTAAAGACTTTCCACTTCCTCAAGTTTTTCCATGAGTGTATTATATGAAACTATACATGTTTAACTGTCCATGTACAAAGCTGCCATAGCGGACTATTGACCATATATTCACCGATGTACTTATTGTATTTACATATTCCTTAAGTAAAACGACATTTGAAATACTATCCCGCATGTGTTTCTTTTCAACGAAAAATCAAAATTTATTTCAAGGAGAAATATCGATTATTTCTAACCTTTTGGATGAGATATGAAAGGGTGAATTGTGAAGAGTAATGATAAACGGAAAAATAAAAGTGTCAAGAGATGGGAATCGAGCCCACAGTGTTCCGCTTACCAGGCAGATGCCATGTCCACTAGGCTAATCGATATTTCTCCTTGAAATAAATTTTGATTTTTCGTTGAAAAGAAACACATGCGGGATAGTATTTCACATGTCGTTTTACAATCATAAGCCGCATTATATTACATTGTATTCCTTAAGTGTTGTCCATAAGTGTACCAAGTATCACGGTGTGATTCTAATACGACGTTGAATACAGAGCGTTTCCTGGCCGAGTTCGGACCTGACGGATGTGCACTCAGGACCAAGGACCAAGGTTTGGACTTCGAGCGAAGGACTCAGTACAATCTGACTTTACGTCTAGACGGACTACATGGTGAGTGTGTCCCACACATGTGACACTGTACAAGGACATGTAGATGACACCACAATGTACAGATGGAGCTCTAGCCAGCACATTAGCGACTGTAGATGTCCTCAATGTCAACGACAATCCGCCCCAGTTTGTCGTTCCTGATCGTTACCGCTCAGCCGGACGTCTTGACGGGTATCTAGCCGCTATGGATCCTTCAGCCACCACGGGCGATGTCTTCCTAGCCGTGCTGCGGGCGAGAGACGCGGATGCCCCGCCGGGAGGACTCCGCTATGGCTCGGCGGACCCCAGAGTAGCAGTTCATCCAACATCAGGCGAAGTCCGCTCCACGCCACGTCTGGACTCGCGGACCTTGCCGATCACTGTGGCCGTGACTGTCACCGACGGAGATTTCCAAGATGTCTCCCATCTCCTGGTAAGATATTATTTAAGTGGATATCTTCATTATTGGTTCTTATTTGATTTTTTCTGTTGTTAGCGTCTACCATGTCAACTTTAGTTGACAATATGGACACAAATATCCCCCAATTATATCTGTTTGTGACCATCAAGTCAACTTTTGGTAATACTATGCAATTTTCTTTTTAAATTATGAATTTGTATTGAAACCTCCTCGCATGAGTGTATCAAGTCTTAAGTTTCATTAGATATACTATACAGGACCTTTGGGAGAGGCCGCTACTTATCATAAAATAGCTCGAGGAACATGGACTGATGTGTAATCTTTGTACAAGGGGATAAGAATCAACAACAAGTCTTAAGCTTTACAGTACAGAGTGTAAAATGGAAGTGAGACAGCGGAAATTATATACTCATGGACAAAACTTAAGGAAGTTTCAGCATGTATATCAGGATTGAGACAATAACTCTGAAAGATATTACAGTGACCTTTATTGAAAACACACGAGATAACCAATATACACTCATGGACAAAACTTAAGGAAGTTGTACCTTTTGCCATGTATATCGGGATTGAGACAATAACTCTGAAAGATATTACAGTGACCTTTATTGAAGACACACGCGATAACCAAGTGTGAACATCTTCTGTCTCCTTCAAATAAATAGACGACCGGTGACATCGAAGACTTACCACTTCCCTAAGGGTTGCTCATGAGTGTATAATGAGGAGATATATACAAGATCTACTGTGTCGACAGGTCAACGCCGTGAGGAAGGAAGACCACGTCATCCTGGCCGTGGGCAACACCTCGCCTCTCAAGGTCCTCACACGGACGGAGGAGCTGCTGGGGTGAGTGACGTTCTCCAATTTGCATAGCTCTGGTCCCTCGTCGCCAAAAAACCTAGATTTTTAGAGACACATTTACATTAACTTTTTAGGGCAATGCCACGCTCTGATATATATACAGTAAAACCTCTCTATAGTGAACCCTAATGGGATAGAGCTTTTGGTTCACTATAGCCACGGTTTGGACTTTTTTTTACTTTTCAAAATTTTTAGACCGTATAATTAAAGGACAGCCATACACACAGCAAGAGGTTGCCTCTTAATAGTGGTCACTTTGTTTTAATTCCCTTAATTGACCAATTTCCTTACATTAATACTGAATAATAAAAGAAATTATTTGATGATAGGTTCTTCTTATCATTAACATACATGTATCTCTATGTCTAAATTCAAAATCAAGACAAATCCTAAGCAAAATTTTATTAAATATATATTCAAAGATATAAATGATTTTAAAACATCTTTATCACATTATATAATTTAATGTTTACTTGGAAAATGGCATTATATATATAAATAGAAAGACGAAGTCTTCCCATTGTTCTTGCCAGGTGAAGAGCGTCAGAACCAAAATGGGTTTAAATAATTTTAAAAATAGAGCAATCCATAAATATATATGTGGTATTCTACTATGTTGGGAAACCTTACTCTTGGTGTTGAAGGTTGTTGAAGTGGTGACGCAGTCGTGGTGAATGATGCAGTCGTGGTGGATGAGTGAAAGGATTACACACGGGAAATAAGCCGGGACACTTGATGGTTGAAAATATAAGGCAACGGGTTGGAGGAAAGAAAGCTTTTGAGAAAGGCAGAGCGGTTTTTGATGATTAATTAGTTGATCACATGGCGATGATTGGATTTAGATGAAATGAGCGGAGAGAGAGGTCTCTAGTGAGCAGACATTACCTTGGTGGGGTCGAGTCGATGACTGGGTCTGAACTCGGTGGGAGTGAATGAAGAACTGTAGATGTTGTTCAGATGGGAGCCAAAACACTACTAGGTCCGAACTCGGCGAGAGCGAGTGAACAACTGACCATTCTTGCTTTTCGATTTTACACCAAGACTCAGTTTCTTTTTGATTGGTCGAGAGATGTCACATGATCTTTTCCTATTGGTCGACCTATTTAGGTACTGTCTTCTGATTGGCCCGGCGGTTTTCTTTGGTGTTGCTTTTGCCGGAAGATATATCCGATTTCGCCAGGAAGTGTTGGGTAGCTCGACGCTTATAACTTCGGCGGATATTAGATACGTCCTGACTTTGCCGGAAATATTGGGCGTTAGCTTAACATTTATAACTTCTGCGGTCACTAGATACGTCCGGTCTTTGCCCCTGCAATATTGACGGGGGTGCCAAGAATAGTCGTGCCAGCTTTAGGCCTACTTCCTATGTCTTATTGCTACTTGCTTTCCTCCAGTTACCTTATTCTTTATTAAATCTTTGAAAATCATACATGGTACATACATAGTGGGTCGGGGGTGCATTTAATTATATACAAATTATGACAGATGCGCCCCCTACATGTGAAGAATTCAAGAAGGGGTTAGCCTGAGAGAATTCTGTAAAGTGAAAAATAATTTTGTGGGAAAATTAGTTGTGGGTATTGAGAGGTTATATACAAGTATTGGTGGTGATATAAGAGGTAAAATAGAGTGGTGTTGATGATATAGGTTGAGTATAATTAATAGAAATCAAAAATTTTTAATTGTAAGAAATCAATGAATGCTATGGTATATAGTGGATTAAAAAGAAAAGAAAATGCGCCTAACTGATTTCTACTCGAAATTGGAAATAAAAACGAGGGAGTTCTATTAGGGCTTTTGAGAAATCAAAAATAATATAAAAATAAAAAGTTGGACGGAATCAAAGTGAATGCTTGGTTGCATGGTGAGAAAAAAAATGCTTTGTTGCATGATGAAAAAAAGGAAAAATGCCTAACTAATTTTTTGCTCGAATTTTGGGAGAAGAAATCGAGGAAATTTCATAAGGTCTTTTGAGAAATCAAAGTAAAATAAAAAGTTGGAAGAAATCAAAGTGAATGCTTGGTGCATGGTGAGAAAAAAAGGAAAAAATGCCTAACCATATTCTAGCTCGAAATTGGGAATGGAAACCGAGGGAATTTTATTAGGGCTTTTGAGAAATCAAAAATAAAAATAAAAAGTTGGAAGAAATCAAAGTAAAATAAAAAGTTGGAAGAAATCAAAGTGAATGCTTGGTGCATGGTGAGAGAAAAAAAAAAGGAAAAATGCCTAACCATATTCTAGCTCGAAATTGGGAATGGAAACCGAGGGAATTTTATTAGGGCTTTTGAGAAATCAAAATAAAAATAAAAATAAAATTTCATAAGGTATTTTGAAATCAAATAAAAATAAAAAGTGGTTGAGCGAAATCAAAGTTGAGTGCTTGGTAAAAAAAAGAAAAATGAGAAATAAAAAGGTTTCTCTCAGCAATAAAGGATGATTTAATGTTTTTAGTTTAACCGAAAATCAATGAGTTTTCGTTGATAATTGAAGTTATGGCAATATCAGCTAAGTGGTAAATAGAATGATAATTGATAAATAAAAATGATAATATAAACTAATTGAAAAAAAAATGATAATTAATGATAAAAAGTGATAATAAGTTGAATAAATTGATAAATTGATTAAATATTTACATTTTTAATTGAGAGAAAATAATGAAAATGATTAATATGAAAAATAAGGTGTATTGGTTTGAACCCTTTTGTATCTACATGCCCTATAAATTTTTTGTCTCATCTGTAGCGACACTTAGGTGAAAACGTGATTCTACCCATCAAGTGCGTTTATGCTATGTGTACAGGAGACATGGAAATCTATATAATCTTTATGTGTAATTTTTTGTCTTTGTGTGTGTTGTGAAAAAATGTTAGAAGTCTGTTGTGTAAGAAATGTGTGAGCGAGTTCTATGTGTTGTCTTGTGGATGTGGAATTGGATGGTAAAAATCGATATGTAGACTCGAACTGGGATCCAAAATTGGTGGCATAGAGAGGTTCCCAGTTGACCTCAATAGGGGACCTTCTCATTGTAATTAGAGATACGGAAGTGGGGTGTGTCGGGCAAAAGAGAGGGAATGAAATTGGAGATCGGACGAGGCGCTCCGCTTTGTTTGCATAGGCCGAATTTATCGCCGCGGATTACACTTCCTGTCGCGGTGTCTCAAAATTCTCTCTTCCTTCCGCTTATTTAATTTTTGGTGCGGTTCAGATCTTGTTTTTGGAGTGTGACTTCTCCGACACTGGTTGGTCATCTTTCAGTTACTTCTATCTCTTCGGAGTTTATTTAGATTTTCTGCAAAGATGGTTCCTAAAATTATGAGAAGTTTTATAAATGTTTGTCCACAATGAAAAACTGCCTCTTGTAGTTCGAAAATTTTATGAGCGGACATGGTATAGATAAATAAATAGTTAAGGAATAAAATTGGGATACATTTGTATGGTAGAACTAACAA